GTCATTTCCACTTTTTATAAAGTCAACTTTCATCAAATATTCAGGGAATTATAGCCCTCGTTAGATATACAGGATCACATAACACAAAGAAACTTTATCGAAAACCACAAGGCATAAACCGGAATTCAACGGATCAACTTCAATCACAAAACACCCGTAAGTAATAATAAAGTAGAACAATTATTTGTATTCAGTGGCCTTCTCGAGACCACAGCCGAGCAAGCCACTTCCTTTCCATTTTCGCGGTCGAATCTCCAAGCGAACCGCGCGCCCATTTCGGAGTGCCGTGACCCGTAGAACCTTCTAAAGGATAAATACGTCATAAACATTAGCGAACCCCTTCAGCATTCTTCGCTTCTTCAGCCATACCGACGATGCCCGTGAAAATGGCACGGTGAATCGGGCCCCATTGAAGGATGTAATCGTCTTCTTTCAAACCGTCCTAAAAAAAAAAGAAAATGCTTTTAACCTTGAAAAATTACCTCATCTGCCGGGCCACCAGGCAACACATTGATCACACGGGCAAAGGGGTCATTACTAGTGCGATGGACAATCTCAAAATCTTCCTTTTGAGTCTCGAGCTCGGAGGCGCCGGCTTCCTTCCGAAGTCTCTCATCAGCGTGGGCAGCCTCCAGTGACTCAGCAATCTTCGCTAAAAACACTGATATGGGAAGAATGAGTAGGTAGCGATACCTTGGAGGGCCTTCCTATCATTGGCCAGTCGGATCAGCTGAACCCGCGAAGTTCGAACTGCATACACATCAATAGAGGGAATCGGGAATCCTTCGGAGTCGACGAGGGGCGAATCCATCGTAGAGCGATTCTGAAATACTACTTTGCTATTCACACTTCTAGCGCACCTGCTTCAAGATACTTTCTTCCAATGCGATTTTGGAGTCGAGGTGGTCACGCTCGCGCAGCAGCTTCTTGAGGTCGTCCATTTCGATGGGGAACTAGGAAAATGAATATTTGTAATTAGAAGTGGGAAGAAAGGGTTATTTGAGGTTGGGAAGAAAGAGGAAGCGAAGATTGTTAGGTAAAGATGTAGTTGGTCCCCCCACCTTTTGTATCTAGAGTGCTACAGTGTTCTAAAGTATATCAAAATGTTCCCCTGGTCTCATTAGCAAGAATAGATTAAATTAGAGTTCAAAAAATGAAGCAAGGAAAATACTTCAGGCTGAAAAGTCAAAATCTCGGCTGAGATGTAAACTAAACACGAGCCAGTTGTTAGAATGTAAGTTGATTCACTGGTTCTAGAATTTTCGATTTTCCTGGGTTAGGAAAAGAATGAAGCACAGAGTCGAAGATAAGAACTTTGAGTTTCATAACAGACAAAATTTGAAATTTTAAAAAAAAACCGGGAATCGAATTCTGAAAAAAACAAAGGAGAAAAAACGAAGATTGTCTTATTTGAAGTTTATGAGCCTGATATAAAGCCGCCTTCCGTTCTCGAAACCGGCTTATCATTATCGAGCTGAACAAAGGCCGAGGCTTCGATGACAAAGCAAATGTTCAACCGGCCACGTCTCGCCACGATTCCCCTTCGGCCCAGCTGACGATTCCAGTGCATGCAGACAGCCGGACATTTGGCCGGCCGACATCCGATGAACATCTACGTCGACTGTGTTGTAGACGTTCAAAAATTAATAAAAACAGGTTATATGCCTAACATTACACCATATAGACTCCTTCGCATGGTTACCCTCTCAAAGACCAAAGATTGAAACGTATTCTCTTCGTATACTTTCCAACTCGGCGTTCTTCTCTCTTTTTTTTATACGTATTCTACTATTTTATACGTATTCTGCTGAAATCGGAAAACATCAATCCATTTTTCCAGGTAAAAACCGTGCTCCATGGGGCGCGCCGAATTTCAGTACGATGAAGTCGGAAATACATTCTACTATGTCCTGATCTCTTTCTATGCCATCGTCTTGATCCCGATCACTTATTTTATCCTCCCGAACAGGCATAAAGGTAAGCTTATCGATAGCTTGGCCAACTTTGTTTAGAAGAAAAGGTGGTTGATGAAACTCAATGCCAATGTCGGGGCTGTCTTGTCAAACGTGATCGGAAAGAGGCTAACAAGCCGTGGAAGCGTACAAAGGTCTTTCTGAGGATAGCTTTTTTGCTTGGTATGTTGTCCTTGATCTTTTTGGTTATTATTTTGTTCAGCTGCCTGGGGAATCTTCTTCATTCTCGCCAACAAGGTTGCTTCCATTGAAGTGACCCACAATGAATACGATCCATACGCGATTCTGGGGCTCGATACGGTTTGTTATCAAGATATTTTTACCCTTATTTTAGGGTGCCGAAGCTGGAGAGATCCGTAAAAATATCGTGAGCTTACGAAGAAGCTCCATCCTGATCGGTAGTGCTTCCTTGCGAAACTTATTTCTCATATTCCAGCGGTGGCGATCCTGTGGAATTCGATAAGGTGGCAAAGGCCTATCAAGCTCTGACGGACGATGAAGCTCGGCAGAATTGGGAAAAATATGGAAACCCCGATGGACCTACAGGTTTTGACATAGCCTCAATTTTTGAACTGCTTTTTTCAGCAACTACGTTTGGAATTGCGCTTCCCAAATGGCTCGTTTCGAAGGAATATGGAGTATGGGTCTTGGCTTTTTACGGCATGCTGTTCATGATCGTCCTACCCGTGGCCGTCGTAGGTTAAGAAATTCGGATCAAATCCTTTCTTAGGGAATCTGGTGGTACAATTCGATCAAGTACAGTCAAGATAAGGTTCTCCTCGATACGACCCAACTCTTTTATTACTTCATTCACAGGACGCCAAAGATGGAGATCAATCGTAATTACTCGCCTTTTTGCGAAAAACTTTTATCAGGAATGCTAATGGTTATGACTGGTGCCTTCGAGTTTTCGAAAAGCTACAATGCCGAGGTTGTCGAGCGTGAAACCGACGACACATCACTGCCACGTTTGATGAAGCATTTTCCAAATTTGGGTGAAAACAGAAAAGAGAGGCCGTTGTGTATGCCATATGCTCTAAAGGTATTTCAAACTTTTTCGAACTTCAAGGAATGTTTAGGCTCGAATTTTGGCCTACGCTTACCTGTCCCGACAAGATTTGGAGAACGCAGATTTGGAAACTGATCAAACGTTCGTGCCAATGTTTCGTGTTAAAAAATGTGGTTTAGATACATTCTTACAAGGCTACACCGCTTGATCGAGGAATTCGTCTCCTGCACGCAACAGCTGACATTTTATTCTCAATGCAAAGTTCCGTTCGAGACGATGGAGAATGTGTTGAAAACATTGCCGATGTTTACTCAGGCAATTTTTTATTCTTGTTCATACAAAAATCTTTCAGGCCCTCTGGCCCAAATCTTCCCCATTGCTGCAATTGCCACACATTGGTGATCACAATCTGAACTTTATCAAACGGGTTAGTCATCTGTCACTTGGACAAAAAGATTTTTTTAGAACAAAGTGCACAATTGCCCCCAGTTGGCGAATTTGGACGAGCAGAAACGGAAACAAGTTTTGAACTCATTGGACGAGATGCAGTACCGCGATGTGCTGATTGTTCTCTCATCGATGCCCCAGCTCCAGATCGACACTCACTTTGAAGTAGCCGGCGAGGATGATAAGCATGAAGTCACGGCTAAATGTCTCGTGACCCTAAAAGTCACACTGACCCGCCGTTCGCTCCTTGACCGTAGCGTGGTGCCTGCAGAGGATGATTATCGTGCCAAGAGTGCCGATGAAAACAGCGGCGACGAGAATGAAAAGTCTGATGATGAGGACGAGGAGAAGAAGAAAGAAGAAGAGGAAAAGAAACCGAAGCGAAAGGTCTGGGAGAAGCAGCCGAAGAAAGGAAAGGGCAAACCGAAGCAGAAACCGAAGCCGAAGCCAAAGGCCCCGGCGGCTGCTCCTGTAGAGGCTTCGCCCGAACCATCCCAGCCGACCACTTCTGTCGGAAACACACCGTCCGAGGCTTCGCCGAAGAAGAAACCAAAGAAGCCCGCCAACGGTGACTCAGAATCTGTAAGCCGTCTCGCTTCATTTTCTAATCTTTATTTTAGGACGATGAATCTCAGTCTTCGGGATCCGAGGAACCGGCCCAGTCTGGTGGGGACCAAGACGACAGCGACGTCGACGAAGATTGGGCAAAGCCGCCGAAGAATATCTTTGAATCAAAATCAAAAGAAACACATCCGGTTCACGCGCCATTCTACCCAGGAGGTTTGTCATTCTAGGTGGATTTTTTTGATTGATGGTTCAGAGAAATTTGAGTGGTGGTGGCTGTCATTGACACTCAAGGACCACAAGCAGCACCGGCGGTTAGTCGCACCGGTGACGCCGTGCAAGACGTTGGTGGACAGCCAGACGGTACTAATTTCCACAAAAATGAAAATTACCTTCTTTTAGATCGAGATGAGGTTTAACGCCCCTGATGAAAAGGGAATATACACGTTCACTCTTGGCGTGCATTCTGATTCGTACATGGATGCAGACTACAGTCGTGACTTGAAAGTAATCTCCTTTTTATATTCTTACGCATAATTTCGTTTAGTTGGATGTCAAGGAAACCAAGATAGTCGCCGCGCCCAAATACGAATCTACCGACGATGAAGAGGAGGAGAAGGCCGACGCTTCATCCGAGGAAGAATATACCGAAGAAAGCGATGATGAGTGATCAACTTTCCTTTCTGAATATGGCCTTGTCATATCTCTGTGTCTATATGCCATTTGAAACCAAAATGTTCTTTCCCTGAATATTTGCGAGATCATTCCTTCATTTGGCGTCTGGGGTTTTGTTTGACCGATTTTCTTTGTTGTTGCACAATGTGATGATTCCCACGGTATTTCTCTTGGTACTGTCATAGTAGAATGTCCTTTTTAGTGAGTAGTATCATCGTATTTATGCTGTGTTTCCTATGAATACACGTTTTATGGACCTTTCAGAGTATGCAGACATATTCCAGTAAAAAGAGGATCGTGAATCTTGTAAGCGAAAAACAGAGAATCATGTTTTATATCGTCAATCTGCTTTTCTTTCTGTCTAGAGTGGCCACGCTGCTTGGGTGGTGTAGATTTTCATAAAACCGCCATGCGCCTTTGCACGCGACTGACCTTGGCGGGGCGCTAAAATTTGACGACCACCTGGTATTCATTGCTTTGGCGCGCTTTTGTTGCCACCACTTGATTGCTCTATGGTTCTTCTCGATTCATTTTCTTCAATTCTACATACTCGAGTTTCAGTCCGAACATGTGCAAGCGGAAGTATGCCGTGATTGCCTCTATGGAAGATGAAACCCAAATGCAAAAGCTTATGTTTGTTGCTTTGGTCTTGCTTTATAGATTTTTAGTGAATTCGGTCGCTGGTTCTTGCCACTTGTCAGCGCGAAGACCTGCGATTTGGGAATCATGTTCGAAATCGAGGTATTTGTTGTTTGAATATGCAGCATCTCTTTTTATTTTAGGAACAAGAGACTGTCCACTACTATGCCCCGGTAAACGACGGTGTCCGGGTTGCGGAAATTTACGAGGACATTTTTGAAGTAGCCTATCCTTTTCGAGGATATTCTGGTGTTTGCTTAGAAGCACCCGTCCGTCTCGCTGGTCATCCACATCCTCCCGTTCAAGGATTCAATCGAATACAAGTATGATAGTTTTTAATAGTTTATACTTGGCGGTTGAGGTGGATGAAAACATTGACTGCGCGCTATGGACTGATTCGCCAGGGAATTCTGCTGGAAAATGCCTTGAATAAGTGAGTATAATTTTTGGCTGCTCGAGCTCTATCTGCAGATTTGCCGACTTGGATCGTGAAATGGTGCTCGGCAACGTGGCCCAGTGGATTGGACGGGAGGCTCTGAAGAGCTCTGGTCTCGGAAAGGCTGCTGCTATGTAAGGAAAATTTCAACCCTGTAAAACGAAGTATTTTAGGTCCGAGGTATCCCATGATCTGACGGTCAAACGCATCGTCGACTCAAACAATGACAAGGATAATGCCGAGACGCAGATTCCTCGCTTCAATCAAGCACTCGTTAGCCAATCTGGCCAATTGCTTCACGATCTCACAAAAGGTAATTTTTTTTTTTGATGTCTTTAAAGGATTTAGTAGATTTGGTTTGCTTTCTCATGCTGATTTATGCCTTTTTTTGGCCCAAACTATTTAAATTTAGAAAAAAATGGTACCCTGGCTGATGTGGACACGGCGACCTTGTCTTTTGACGGCTTCCCATTGAACGTCTCCAAGTTTTCAGTTGGCGCCCTTTTCACGCCGTTTATCATTTCTGACGTAATATTGCCTACATTGCACTAAACGGGCTTTTAGATCCGGGTCGACGGAACCGCGGCTTCGGTTACATTCGTCAACAAATTCCACGCGTTTCAAGCCGCTCAAAAATTCTCGGAGCTTTCCTTCGAGGGAAAACCTCTCAAGGTACTGCCGCTTTTGTAGTCTACTAATTTGTTTAGATGACGAAGATTAGCGCAGAGCTGCAACAACGACTCACCCCGGTCGCCTAGAACTCTTCCTAAAAATTACGGTTTTTTAAAAAATGTGATGTCACCGGTACGCCTCAGCCTCAAAAATTGATCTCGTTACCTTTTCACGATTGGAATTTGGGCAGTTTATAAACTTGTTTTGCCTGACACCGAATTTATACGCGATACTCGATGTTGTTCTGTTTTTGCGGACCCGATATTTGGAGCGCAGTGCCAGTTGTTGGTCCGAATACACCTAAAAACATCTGCGCCTCTCTCCGTAAATAGGCGTAGATCGCGATAGAAGACCGGAACTTGAACGTGGGCCTTTCGTGCTTCCCAAGAAATAACGCCCAGAAAAAAAGAATTGTGCTTTTCCGTAATTAACGGCCGTTTCTCTTTAGATACCAGCCGATTACAGCCGCTTCGCGACTGTAACCGGCTGGACTTCGGGCTACCCTCCCCATTCTACCCCACCAAATTTCATCCCTACCTTACGCTGATGCCTTCATGGCAATACCTACACTGATGACTTCAGTTACCCCCATGGCTGAAATGCCCTTCAAAAACTACTTACATACCTTCCTGATGGCTTCAGATATCCCCATGGCTGAAATCCCCTTCAAAAACTACCTACCTACCTTCCTGATGGCTTCAGTTACCCCCATGGCTGAAATCCCCTTCAAAAACTACCTAAATACCTTTCTGATGGCTTCAGATACCCCCCATGGCTGAAATCCCCTTCAAAAACTACTTAGATTCCATCCCGATACTTTAAGTGATTTAAATAATAAATTAACATAATTAAAAAGTATTCAAGTAACTTAAAAAAGCTATCTGGGCGCGGGAAAGGGCCTGGTGAAGAGGGGCAAGGAAAGGGGCGTGGCCTCCGGGAGAGGGCCCCACACCCTTTACTAAGGAAAAACTTTCAAAGTTATTTTTAATAATTTAAATTAAAACTTTTTCATAATTTTTTTATCAGTTTGGGGGTTTCTGACCATGCTCTATCCGAATCCGAAGAGAGCTAAGCTCTAGCTCCTTTCCCCTTCGAGTTGAATTCGGGACATGACGGACGGACAGACGGACA